GGTTGTAATTTGTTTTGAATTTAAGGGTAATTTTGCTAAAAATTTAATTAATTAAAGTGAAATAGTAAAAGCAACATTCATTTAAATAAATTTAAAAATAAGGATATCATTGCCTTAAAATTTTATTATTAAAAGATAGAATTGTAACCCAAAAAAAAAAAAAATATATTACTTTGTTAATCTTACCATAACTAAGCGGAGGTAATCGGGACTACCAACAGTAACTATTACCCCCAACCAACCCTCCCCTTAACAGTGACACCTCTTACAAAAACGCTGTGTTTGTTGCTGTCTTTCCCTGCCAAAACGGTGAGAACCATTCTGCTCACAAGAGACGGAGTCGCTTTCGAAGTAATGGGTAAAGTTTTTTTTTTTTAATTTAATTTAATTTTTATTTTTAGTCAATGAATACTGAGAATGTTTTGTAATCCTTTTCATATGAAAACGGTGGCAGATGAAAGAACAGAAGTTGAAGAAAGAGAGAGAGTGGAAGAGGTGAAGGAAGGAGTAGCATCAATAGCATTATTGCCATGTGGGTCCATCTCTGGGCACTTCATTCATGTTCCTCACTCTATCTGCTATGGCCTTCACGGCACTGGTATTTATTTTTTTTTGACTTTTTCTTGGTTCTTTCTTTGAATTTTAATAATTGGCCTGAAAGGTTTAGTTTGTTGTTCAGTTGTAACATTGTTTATTTGGAGGGAATTGCTATGTTCCCGGGAGTGTAATACTGTAACGTTACTGGAATATATGTGTTTTGATAACCCACAACTTCGTTTTGGTAATGTTTAACGTTATACAAATATCATTTTAATAATATACGTGGCATGATTCGTAACTGTTACCATGTTGGCGTTATAACTGGCTTGGTAATGGTACCCAAAAGGTTGCAGTTGGATTCATCGTGGCAGTTTCGTCTAACGGACTGATTGGCTGCTTGATCCATCTTTAGTGATGTCGAGGTTTTTGAGAATGTGGGTTAGCTGTACCGTCAGATTTTTCAATTGGGTTAGGAAAAACATTGCAGAGTCTTCATACATTTGCAAGGGCATTATTGATGAAGCAATGCATCTGGTTTTTTAACACTATCAGAAATTTATGGAATGTTGAATTTCTGCCTGTACACTGCCTTTTCATTTTGTTTCAGTCAAGTTTTTGTAGGAAGCTTTCCTAAAATATAACTTTGTATTTCGTTTTTAATGTTTCTGTCATTCTCTTTCATGTTTTTAGAGTTATCTTGCGAAAGGGAATGCAGCAGAGGGGAGGATTATCGGTTGATCAAGCTCACAGTCATTGACTACAATGTACAAGCTGTACTTCTTTTCTTTTATCTGCCTTCTCATTTCTTAAATTCAAATTTAATTGTACTATTATTTTTTGAGCTTCTTTGAGTATTAATTCATTCTTTCCACCATAAAAATTCTCTTTCTCTAATGAGTTTTAGTATGTAACAGAGAAAGAAAGAACAAGCTGTTGTAGTCGAGTGTAGAGGCCATGATGCTGCTCGGTTCCACAACATTGATCATGCTCATGGGTAAGCCATCTTGGAATGAGTTTGCCATAATGGAGGATGATGAAATTAGACAAATCTTGGGAGAAGTAGCATTTATACCTTCTTAAATTACATTGATTGAACTGACAAGCAGAATATGATGAAAATTAATTTATATCTTTTTTTTATTTTTGAAGTATCATCTGCTTGTCTTAATTTTTATAGGTATGTTAATGGTATATAGTTACATGCACTATGTCCATTAAACGGTTTTTCTTTTCTAATGATTCATTTGTACACAGTTGGGAGAAGGATGTTGTAGGAATGGTTGAACAAAAGCATGGGAAGAATAAGATTCAAGTTTCATTTGAATGTGAGACACTGAAAGCCGATAAAGCAGCTGAAGATCATATTATGCAGTTCATGCCCAAACTAGCTGGGATGGATGCTGTTGGTATGTACTCGGTCTTTCTTTTTCCCCTTTTATAACCCGGATGATAAATTTTTGTTGATAAGTACCTGTTCAGACTTCTTCCTGCCTAATGGGTCTCCAGAATGCAAATGTGATTATCAACTCAATTTGTTGAGCTTGGTTAATTGACATGTTTATCTCAATGTGTTTTTGTCTTGGCAATATTTTCCTGTTATTTTCCTGCTGACCCATTTGGGAGTGGGAACATAGAACTAATAACTTCTATTGCTGGGATTACATCAGCAATAGTTGAAGTTTTATCTCCAATGCTACAAGAATATGATCTTTATGCATATCAAAAAGGCTGTGTAGCTCAATCTATAATATGGGCTAGATTTGAATTTGCATTTTTTGAATACCCATTTTCACAAACACAATTTCTCCCAAAAAGATTGAGTTGCTTCTGTCATTTCCCTTTATCTTTGTTCTTCATGTTTAGCAAACAACAGTAGCATCAATAGAGTCTAATCCTAAACTGTTAGTGACCTTGAAGCTTCACTAGAATAATCGCTGCCATTTTTTTTTTTTTTTTGTTTTCTTTGCTCTGTCAATATATGCAGTGTAAATTGGTTGTTCAATGCCTGACCAAAGTTTTGAACTGTGCAGTTAATATTGGAAGGATGCGCATATCAGGATTGGACTTTGAAGCAGAGGAGAACCTTTAGGCAAAGATATGATAGAATGAATAAAGAATTGTTCTTATGGCATATATTGCATAGACCTAATATACAAAATGAAATGAACCATTTTTGTTGATGTTGGATTTTGACACCAACTATTCACACTTGCAAAGTGTTAAGCGGACTTAGAAATTGCACGTGAATTGGAAAATGAAATAAATAAAAGGGAGATGATTTTTAAAGTGGTTCGGATGCTCAAAGCAAATCCTACGTTCACTGTCTTTTTATTTATGAAAGAGTACAATTAGGTCACATGCAGCGATCTAAGAGAACAGAAGTACAGAGAGGGAGAGAGAGTGTTTTTGTTATCAGGACTAGAATCCCAAAAAATAGAGAGGAGTCCTCTATTTATAGTAAGAGGTTTTTAGGTAATGATTATGGGTTTGTCAGTGGACAGGTGTAGTGTAGTTCTTACCCTGCTTCCCATTGGCCAGTTGCAGTGTAGTTCTTACCTTGCTTCCCATTGGCCAGTTGCAGTGTAGTTCTTACCCTGCTTCCCATTGGCCAGTTGCATGGAATATATCTTTAAATCGCGTAGGGCTTGGACAAGTGGGTGACTCCTAGCCACTCACTCGCTAGGCTTTTACCTGCCAAGTTGATGACAACCTTACTCCTTCTGTCCTTGGGCGACGTGGCAGCGTCTGGACGGCACAATGTCTTCCTGAATTTTGATTGGTCCTCGCTGACGTAAGCCTGCGTCAGCCCTGATTTTTTAGGCATAACAAAAGCCCCCTAGTTCTTAAGGTTCAAGGCTTGAACTTTGAGAACTTCATGATTATGTTATGATTTGGCTCACCTCGAGGATCACTTGCTCAAGCTGAAAGTGGAGGACAGCTGAAATAACATGAAGTTCACGATTTTACTCGACTAGCGAACTGAGTGGAGGTCGCGACGTGGGCTTGGCAAACTTCTCAAGCGACCTGAGATGATCATCCCCCTAAAGGTTCAGCGACTTGGGGTCAGATCTTGCTCAGTGCTATACCAACATGCTTCGAACTTTGCCTATCGCTCTCGACCTGAAAACACTTAGAAAATTCTCGTCGAAAATCAGAGGTCACTTCGATTTCGAGCTCAATACATGGAGAAGAGTGTTTCATTCGAATGACCTTTTCAGATGTTATCGTTGCGTTTGACAGTTGGCATGTTCAATAAAGTAAGATTTATCTAACAAACATGTCTTTGCGTAATAAGTGTCAGCCATGAGCATTAAATGCAAGTCATGCTGAAACGACATTTTCTTTTAAAGCATTAAATGTGGATGAGAGCGCATTCAATGCAGTGAAGATAACCATGCGGACGTTTGGTTTCTCCAACGGAGGGAAACGTTGATTGATCTTCACGAAGCGTGAAGGTTACTCTTCACAAGGATTGGCGACACATGGTCGCATCCAATGGCTAGGAACGCTTCCTGCCTAAACGTCGCTTGCAAAGGAAACCAAGTGTCGACTTCATGATTCTCACAGAACTTAAATCTTCAAAGAGAAAAAACAGAGTTTTTTGCACTAAAAAAAAATAGTTCATCCTTCTTCCAATTGATGTGCACTCGTCGCTACAACAAAACGTTCATCCCCAGCAACCAAGAGGTAAGGAATACTCTTCCCTTTCTTCTTTTTATTCATGTTAAAAACTCGATTTTTTCATAGCAATAGTGGGTTTGAACGACTGGTAAATTTTTAATAATGCATTTTTTGGTAGTGTTAAAAAAGGAACACTCTAAAAAATAAAAAACCTAAGGCACAAATCCTTGGGAACTTGTTCTCAATGATGTTTAGGGTTTTTAGGGGCTAAGGAAGGAAAATTAGGGTTTTTCTTACTATTTTGAGTCGTCGTACAAAACACTGTGTACGGAGACTGAGTCACCTCTTCTTGTCACACCTTTTCAGACTTTAGGAGTAATGGACGCTTCAGAGATGAGAGTAGCTGTTGGAACCAGCTCGCATCCCTCGAGTACCTCGACGAGTCCCGCATAGGCGATGCTATCAGCAGCCACTACGGATGAGATTCAAAAGGCGGTAGACTAGTTTGCGATCAACGTAAATGTCTTCCAGCATAGGTCGCACACTGCTCAGGATCCTTTAGAGGGAATGGCTGCGATCTCAGAGTCAATCTTCAAATACGGGGTAACAATACCTTTCTCTTTTGGTAGTTAAGACTAATGGAACTTTTCTTTTTCGTAGAGAACAAGACGACCATGTTGTCAGCTTTAGCAGATTTTAGCTGTATCGAGGCGTTTGGTTGCTTACTCGATCAGAGTCGCGACGCAAAACTGCTCGTGACCATTGTTAACCTGCGAAAGTACAGATTCTTTAGCCCCAAGGCATCTTTAGAAGCTCCAGCTCATAAGTATCTTCGTATCTAGAAGAACTTTTTACTTTGCACCAAAGATGACTTTTTTGCTAACACATTTTTATGGCGTGCAGCGACCATGCCACCAAGGGTTCCGAAGCCACCTACAAAGCTGTGGGATTTGTATTTCCCCCGGTCAACCCGACTAAGCTAGTCGAGGCGACCCCCAGCGTTGCCCCCGTAAGAGGGGTACGGATCGGCATCGCAAGGCAACCACCCACGGAGTGACACGCAAAGGCTTCTCGGCCCGTGGTTGCTCGTGCCACGAAGCAGAAAACCATGGGTCACAAGACCAAGAAAAGGAAACAACTGACCGTCGAGGAGGAAACGGAGTTGGAGCCAGAATGCTTCAGGGTGCTGTAGAAGAGAACTCAACCCTACCCCGTCACTTGCTTGAGAGTGCCCCCGATGGGCCTCCTTCGCACTTCGGCAGCCCCTGAGAGCTCGCGCAAGGGAGCGGGAGCAACCATGGCTACTCAGAAGAGAGCGAGCAAGCAAGGGGTTGAGGATATACTTGCCCCCTCGGGGCCAGACCTGTCTATGCTGGATTGCTTAGGGTAATTGCTGAAACACTTGCAGCCGGTAATGTACACCTTACTGGAATGCCAGCCTGCCATGACTTTCGAGAAATTCGTGGCTTCCCGACGTGTCGACCTGGTGGCTATGACATTCGAGTTGCACAGTCAGGTAAAACAGCCTGTTCCCTTTGAGAACTTTCTTAGCTCTTTATGATTTTGAGAAAAGGAAACAGACTTTTGTCTCTTTTCCTATGCAGTCCTTGCTCGCCCTGACCGTGGCCTAATAGAAGATCGATATGGATTCTACCGACAATCTCCACGAGCTGAAAGAGGAGAATGCCAAGCTAAAGTAGGACCTCGCAGCCATGGATGCGGAGGCTAAAACGACTCGCATCTAGGCGGATTAGTACTTGGCAAAGAGATTATGCACTTTGGGCTACAAACTTTCAGAAGGTTGAGCTCGAGAAGAGAGACGGGGACAACAAGGAGCTCCAACGAACGATGGCAAGACTCATCAAGGAGCTGAGCGAGAGAGAGAAAGAGTTGAAGGTGAGCACCGATCGTGCTAAAGCGGCGGAGGAGAGTCAGGCTCAACTGTGGGAGAACTCTAAGAAGTAGAAGAGGGCGATGAAGGTGGACCTTGAGCTGTCTTAGGGGCGAGTTGCTTCATTGACCGAGTAGATGAAGCAACAAAACCTCGAGCTTGAGAGGACGGCTGCTCATTGGGCAATACAGGCCATTTACAGCCTACGGTCGTAGAACTCAGAGATGGACATCTTCGACCTTCCAGACGAATACCAGTCCATCCTTTTTTCCATGCTTCAGGCTGAAGAGGCCGAGCAGCAGAAGGAATAGGAACCTCCTCCGGAAGATGATCAGCTTAGCATTCCCGAAGATCGGGCAGATGATCGTCCAGAGGATCAGGAAGTCGCGCTCGGGGGGCCTAGAGATGAAGACCAATGATTGCCCTTTTTTCTGTCCTTGTAGTTCTCCTAGCTTTTTAGCTTTTTGTAACTCCTTATCGTTTTCTTGTACATAATTTTTTAATATATAAATGGAACTCTTGGTCACTTACAATATCGCTTTTATAATTTAAGCACTTCGCAAGACAAATATTACTTATCTAACCATTGAACTTGCAAAATATTACAAAGAACAAAATTATTAACAAAAGACTTGAGATCACGACACAAGTTGAGTTTTTCTTCGAGAGGAAACATAACAATCTTATTCATAATACTTACAAGAAGGAAAATTTTACAAATTCAAAGAAATAACCAAGTTTTGTCGTGGTGTTCTTCAACCAAGTCCAGACTCGCATGTAAGAGTGCTTTATTGTCTGCCTCGTTAAAAAATTCCCTCCGAAGTGAACCAGTTCCTACTTCTACTAGGATCATCGCCTCGTCGTCCATACGCTAGCGAGAAGGGTGTTTCTGAAGTAGAGGTTCTCGGAGTTGTCTTATATGCCCTTAGGACTTCTAGCAGGTTATTGGCCCAATTGCCTTTTGCTGCGCCAAGCTTGGCCTTCAATGTATGCTTAATTGTCTTATTGACAGTTTCAACCTGACCATTGGCTTACGGTCTTGCTACTGAGACAAACTTTTTATGAATCATTAGCTCGTCGCAAAACTGCTTGAATTCCTCATTGTCTAACTGTTTCCCATTATCAGAGCTGAGTTTATAAGGAATCCCACAACGGCACACTATATTTTTTAGTACAAAGTCTTTGAGCTTTTTGGTAGTGATTGCGGCCAAAGGCTCAGCTTCGACCTGCTTAGTCAACTAATCCATTACGATCACTGCATACTTGACGCCTCCTTTACCGGTTGGCATGGACCTGATGAGATCAATTCCCCACATAGAGAATGGTCGGGGACTGGTCATTGTCGTTAGCTGGTAGGAAGGAGCTCGCGGAACATTCGTGAACTTCTGACACTTGTCATACTTCTTCACAAAGTTGAAGGTGTCCTCGTGAATTAAGGGCCAATAATATCCTTGACGAATAATCTTATTGGCGAGAGATCGTGCAGCAGTGTGATTACGCAGATCCTTTCATGTATCTCCCTTATGATGTAGTATGCTTCATCATCGATTACACATCGGAAGAGAGGAGTGCTAAAC